TGGAGCAGGGATGCAGCACTCCAGCCATGCTGTCATCCTGCATTCTGGACATGCTTGGGGCTGAAGCACCAAAAAGAGCAAAGCAAGAGGCATTTTCCCTACGAGAGACCTCCCAGAGCAGCCAGGGAGAAGGGGTACAGTGGAGGTGGCACAGTGGGTCCCTGGCTTCTGGGGCTCTGTGTTGCTCCTCTGGCTCCATCCAGGAGCAGGTGTCACCACTGCCAGCAGTGCATGGCTCCACGTGCCACAGTAAATGATATGATTTACTTACTACCTATGGAATTGCCCAATTAATTCACTATCCACATTAATATTATGGCTCATTTTTAACTTTACTGTCTCCATCGTTCCAATTTAGTGCTGCTCAGAGATGCTGCCACTGACCTTAATGGGTTTTTCATTATAACAAAGAGCACGATATTAATCACGAGGGGCTTTCAGCTGGAGGTTGCTGCCCAAACCCCACAGCTTTGAGGAGCTGATTTTAGTGGTTTGGGGACCTATTTTATTTCTCAGCCCCACTCACACCGTGTACAATCCTTTGTGCTGTCCAGGAGGAATTTCTTGGTGTAACATTCCCAGGCACAGAGATTTTATGTGGCAGTCAAGCTACACTGCAGACATGATAGATTTTTCTGGGCAGATTGGAACAAGGAGTAGAAAACTGAAAGGATGCACCAGTCATAGCCAATGAGCCTCTTATTGTCCTGTATAAAAATCAAATGCCTTTTAATCATTTCAAAGGTTCTTCTGGGTATCAATTAGTCACACATTAATATCAGTATTGCTTCTGTTCCTCAGTTCACATCAGATTAAATTCTCCCCTGCCATATACACTCGCTCTCATTAGCTTCATGGAAAATTAGTAATTGTTCCCTCTCCAATGGCATTGATGAGAGATTTTCATCAGCTTTTTATACAGAGGACCTGATTGTCATCTTAAGGACACTAAGGGGTTTTCCCCCAAAATTGTTGTCTTTTCATAAAAAGTCCTTTTTTTTTTTTTTTTTTCCCCTCTCTGAAACCCTGAAGTCTGAGTCAGAGTATTGGGGAATGGGGGAAAAAACCTCAACATTTTTCACGAGGCTCACCCCCATTGCCCCCCAGCTATCCTGGACAGCCCAAATCTGCAGGATCAGCAGGCTCCAGCCCAGCCACAGGATCCTCCCCACCAGCCACCCTGGCCTCTCCATCCCCAGCCCTGCCAGTGCTGGAAGGGGCCTGTGATATTTATTGAGTTTTATTAACTCCCAGCCCTGGGAGCTTCTCACCTCATGCAGCTAATTCAGACACCCGACTCCTGATGGAGTTACAGTGATTGCCATTAAAAGGCTTGACATTTACCTTACAACAGTAATAAAATAATAATGCCTAATTTGGTTTATGAGTGGTATTTGCAGTGTTTCCTGTGCCTTGAGTGGGGGATATGGTGAAGATCTGCTGATCAATTATGTCTGCTTAGCAGCACTGCTGTAATTCTTTCCTGTAATCAGAACCATCTTGCAGTAGAGCTGCTCCAAAGTTTTCCTCTGAAACTCTAATTTTGACAAGAAAAGAAAATGTTTTCAAATACTTGAGTTTCCAGTGAATAACAAAAGCTTCCGAGATGGAACTTTCTGGTGGGAACTGGAGACAGACAAACCTGGTGTCTGCACAGATTTGCTGCATTTAGATTTCCAAAACCTCTCTGATGTTTTCAAAGGCTGCCTGCAATTGCTTTCCATTAAAAAGGTTTTTTTTTTCCTCCTCCAAATAACCTCACCAGTATGATTCCCTTGTGTTATTGCCATCTCAAATATTAACCCCCTCCAGTGTGTTTTGCACCCCTGGCACTGCTGAGGGGCTGAGGGGTGAGGAGCTCCTGCTGCTCTGGGCACAGGGAGCCCAAAGCCCTTTGCAGGGAGCAGACACACACCAGGGCACACCCCCAGCACACACTGTGCTCTCCCCAAGCCATTCAGCATCTCCACTTCTGTCCCTCCAGGATTTACCCCAGGTTGCAGGCAGCAATATCTCAATGCTCACAAAGCTAGTGCCAGACCTGCTAAAAGCAATTTCTTTCTCCATTTCTCATCTTGAGCAAAATTCGATGTGGATTTTCTTTTTTTTCAGTGCAATTTTAATTAGTGCATGATGCACTTTGGGTTTTTATTAGAGTAAACAGCTTGGAAAAAAAGTCCATGCCAGCTCTTCTACACCAGGGAGCCTCATCCTGTTCAGACTAGAAACCTCACGCCGGATTTCTGCAAGCCTTTCTTAAGAAGGGTTCATTTCCATGAAGAAATGCTACGATTTCAACAAACGGAAATTTCTGAACATAGAAAAAAGAGAAAAAAAAAAAAAAAATTAAGTCAGGAAATTCCTGGCCAGGCTGACTTTGGGGTAAGGCTGTGCACAAGGCAGTGCCCCCTGCCATGCCCTGTCCCCTGCCATACCCATGTCTCCCTGCCATTCTGTGTCCCTTGCCATACCTTGTGTCCCTGCCATGCCCTGTCCCCTGCCATTCTGTGTCCCCTGCCATTCTGTGCCCTCTGACATTCTGTGTCCTCCTGCCATTCCTGTATCCCCTGCCATGCCCTGTCCCCTGCCATTCTGTGTCACCCTGCCATACCCATGTCTCCCTGCCATTCTGTGTCCCCTGCCATTCTGTGTCCCCTGCCATGCCCATGTCCCCAGCTCCTGGGCTGTTCCCACACCTGTATGAGTGCTGCAGCAGCATCCCTGTCCCCACGCTCACGGGGGCCCAGCACTCTGGGCACCTCCAGCCATTGGCACACGGGCAGGAGCAGAGCTCAAACAAGAACGAGGCCCTGGACGTGTCTGACAGCCAGGGCACCGTGGGGCTCCCGTGTCCATCGTGGGCACGTGTCAGCAGCGTGGGCCAGCACACAGTGGGAAAGCTGGCTGCCCTCCACGGGGGTGGCCGTGGCCCAGCCTCCCCGGCACATGAGCAGCCAGAGCCGCTGTGACTCCACCTCGGAGCGGGCTGGCTCCTCGCACACGGAGGAGACCATGGGAGGGACGGCTCGGCACAGCCCGGACGATTGCTGCTTTCTGCACGTAAGTTCATGGCTTGCCTTGCCACCCCTGATCCCTGCAGTGCCAGAAATGTCTGTCACATGTGAGTCCTCCTCCCCTGGGAGCCCTGAGCACACCCTGGCTACCACTGGTGTGTCATTAATAGGCAGAAGCAGCCAAGCCGAGGAAGAAGAGCTGCCCCAGGTACCAGCTCTGTGGACTGCTCTTCAGCCTGCTGCTCCTTTCTCTTATTCTGATATTTTTTGGTGTCAAATACCTCTGGAACCCAGCACCCAGAAAAGTAAGTAAAAACTCTTTGATCCAGCATTTCAGAGCGTTGCTTCCCCGGACAGAGCTGTCCCCCTCCCCTTGACTCGCTGAAACTTTTAACAACTCTCCAAAAGCCAGGCAACTTCACAAAATGCATTTTCTCAGACCACAGGTATTCACAGGACTTTTAAAAATCCTTGTATTATTCATAACTAGCTTTTACTTTGTACAGGCTGGGTTTTTTCCCTGTCACCACGTTCTTTCCCCAGTTGACAATTACAGGGGATGGGAGCTATGCCACGAAGAGTTAAAGTTCCTCTTATTTCACCGGCAGCAAATTTTATGACAAGTAAGAAAATATTTTCCATTTCATTTCAATTATCTTGCCAGAAACCGGTGGAAAAGTCATTATGCCACCGCATAAAGAGGAGAGAAAGCCAGGACGCAGTGGTGATTGATTGTCATGGATTATATTTCTTACTTTAATGTGTCTGCAATGTGAGGGACGGTGAGATGGATTAGCTTCTGGAGGAGCTCCTGCTAACTGGATTGGGCTCCTTTATTCAGCTGCAGACGGACACTGCTGTCAGTGCTGAGCAGGACTCTGCATCTCCAGCCATCCCTGCCCAGCATCCTGACAGTGCTGCCAAAACCCTTTTTCATCCCACACCCCGAGCAAATCGTTTAACCTTGAAGCCAACAGCCTGCCTGGTGCCCCCCATCCTCCTTTCCTTTGAATTTCCATGCTCATCCAAGAGACCCCACATTGCACCCCATCACCAGTGGGTTTTGCTGGCTCTTAAGAGCATCTCCAAAATTCCTGTGCACAGCCAAGGCAGCCTCTTTCCCACGCTGGCATCTCCAATCTCCTCCCTGTCCTTTCCTGGAGCTGCTCCAGCCTGGCCAGGCTGCCCTCCTGCAGGGCAGAGGAAGCACCCTGCTCGCTGGAAACTTTATCTTCTTATCAGCAAACAAAAATAAATACCCCCCGAAAAAAAAAAAAAAAAGAAAAAACAATAAAAGCCATATGTTCCTCCAGAATCCTGCCAAGACGATTATAAAGTCTCTACTGTTCCTAGAAAAACAGGGGTCATGCCAGCCATGAGGGGAAGAGGCTGTTAACCCCTAGAGGGGCGGCTTTCTCCAAGCAGGCAGCACAGAGACAATTCCACAGCCTCAGAAAGGACATCCAGAGCTCCTGGTGTGTCCTCACTGGTGGCACTGGTGGAGGATGGAGTCCATCCAGCATTTCCAGCACATGATGGGCAGGCCAGTAGGAGAAAGCAGAGCTGTTCCTGCAGTGGAGCTGCACACAGGCACTCCCAGAGCCCAGCACTGCCCCTATGGCCATGGGGCTTCTCCAGCTGGCAAAGAGTCCTCAGGACAAAGCAGGCTGAGGGGGACTGGAAGCTCATAACGCTCAAAAATATCAGCCAAGGGGAATTAAAGTCTTTAAAGAAAGTGAAATCCTTCAAGCTTCCTTCATGTAAGTGGAGAGTGGAACAAAGAAAGAAGAGTTGTTCCCCCGAGGGCTGGCCTTGGACACGGCTCTGCCCTCTGCACAGCTGATGATTCAGCTAACGAGGGCTTCATCTCAGCCTTGCACAGGGACATTTTTCAGCCATTCACCAGCAAGTGTCATTTTTAGCCCTATAAAACATCTCAGAGCTGTCTGAGCAGCACAGAGCTGGCAAAGCCCAAGTGGGTTAGCTGGCTGCTGTGCTGGCCAAAGTAATTCTTTGTAAATGGAGAGGCACTTGAAGGTAAGGTGCCACCCGGGATCCTGCCCTCCTTGAAATGATTTATGGCACTGTGTGCATTTTGTCAGTCAAAACCAGTGGCCTTCCACCCATTTTAGGCTTCAGACTGTTTTACCATATCATAAAATCCATTGGGAGCTATATATCTCTACAAAGTCTTCCTGCAGACCAACAGGAGGTGTCCGTGGCTGCCAAGGCACTCATCTCTCCTCTAACCTTTTAGCAGGGGTGAATGTACCCATCAGTTCCCATCTGCACAGCCAGTTCTGCACCAGGTGGATGCCAAACAGGGCACACCAATGCTGGGAACACTGCTGGGAGGCTTTGAACCACCCAAGGGGAGGGATGTGCAGGAACCAGGGGACTGTGGAAGGGGATTTGGGCTGGCACTGATGGCAGAGCTCCTGCCCTGGTTCCATGGCCATGCTGTGGATGAACAGGGCTCTCCCATCCCTGTGCCTCCATCTCTGCTCCCTGCCCCGTGGATTTGAGGGGATTTGCACAATCCCTTCTTTTCCACACAGCACCGTCCCATTTGGGAAGCGAGGCTCCCCAGGGCCCGCCAGCAGCATCGTTTTTGTGCTCCTCATCCTGTAAGGAAGGGTCAGGCATCCGCAGGGACCGAGGGCTGCCCGTTCCCGGCGGGATCGGCGCCGCCGGCTGCTGCGCCCCGGAGCTCTGCAGCATCCCTCGAGGAGGTCTTTGATCCGCAGGCAATCCTTGATCTCCTCCAGGCAGAGAGAGGCTCCTACCTCTGCCTTTCAGGATAAACAGAAAGCACAGAGATGGAGCGAGTAAGATGGGGAGGACACGATGGAGCAGGTGAGCCGGGGACACAGGGATGGAGCAAACGAGGCAGGGAGAAGGGAGAATGAAACCTGTGCATTCAGGAGTTCAGTCCAGCCTAGGATGCAACCAGGCTCAAGCCACAGAAAGGCTGAGCTGTGGCAAAGCTCCTGGTGCAGGTGTAGGAGGAAGCTCTTCTCCCAAGCTTGGCACACATTACCCCTGCTCCTGCAGCCTGCCCTTTCACCCAGCCCAGGCTCCTGCCTGGGAGCTGCCTCTCCTTGTGCCATCCTGTGGCTCAGAGCTGGGCTGTGAGGAAGCAGCCAGTCCCATGGCAGGGGTGGTCACACACCCAGCACCAGCCTGTGAAACCAGAGGGGTGCTGAGCTGACCCTATGTGACTTTGGCCTCCCAGGTTTATGACATGGAACACACGTTCTTCAGCAATGGTGAGAAGAAGAAGATTGTGATGGAGATTGACCCTCTGGCCAGGACAGAGACCTTCAGCAGTGGGAATGGCAGTGAGGAGATCCTGGAGATCCATGACTTCAAAAACGTGAGTGAGGCAGCTTGTCCCTGAGTCCCTGCAGTCCTGCAGCAAGGCTGGTGGGATCCTGTAGGACACTGTGAAGTCACTGAAGCAAGTCCCAGGATTTTTATTCCTGCATCAGGGACAGCAAGACCCAGACATGCTGGGGATGCTCTCAGAGGAAAGGAGATGTGTTATCTACAAAAGCTTCCACCTGTATTTAATAGTGGAGTGGTTCAGTTCCAATGAAATACATCTTAGAAGCAAGAGCTAATTATTGGATTTACCCTTGCAAAGGAACCCAATGATCATCAGTCTATCTGAGCCCAGTGCATTTGTCTGTCTGGAGAGCATTAAAACCTCGTGACACTGTAGAAGACTCTCTATGAAACCTAATTAAAATTTGTAGGGAAATACCCTGTGCAGTGACATATGGCAAAATTTTGAGCTAATAGCTTAGCAGGAACTGGGGGCTGAATGTTCATTAACCATAACGGTCAGATGCTATTCTGCATATTTTTATTTATGATAATGAGAGCTCATAATAGTTATAAGGAGAAGAGGAGCAGAGTAAAATTTTATGACTACCTGCCTTAAAATATTTGTAAAAAGCCCAGTTCTCCCAAGCCATAAAATGCAATATCCCTTGTGAGAACCTGTTAGTGCACCTTAGCACCACCACTGAACAGAACTGGTACAAAAATAGCAACAGGAAAAATATGACTAAACCCTCCTCCTCCAGCTGTACCCTGCCTCCAATGGGTTATTCATCCTACTCTTTGCCCTGACTGCTTTTTGGGTGTTTGCTTTGATCCTGCAGGGAATAACCGGCATCTTCTTTGTGGGACTTCAAAAATGTTTCATCAAAACTCAGACTAAAGTCCTGCCCGAGACAACAGAGGCCAAGATCCCTGAGCTTGAGGTAGGTGAATAAAACAGAGCTCCCCTCTGCCCTGTGGAATCCACTCCTCTCCCTGGCATAGGGGCTGCCATTCCTGCCGCCCTCCCATCTGCTCCAGCCTTCCCAGAGATGCTGCAATAAAGAAATAATGAGTTGTGATCGCTTCATAGAATGATCTTATTTCAGAGGATTGCTTATAAAAACAAGTGAAAAGAGACGGGATTAGAAAGCGACAGACAAAAGCCTCTCAGCACAATAGCAGAGATCAAGAACAATAATCCTGTTGTAGTCAAAAGGTCGTAAGGCAGCTCAGGATTAGCAGGCACCAAAAAGTCAATCAGATTGTTTTCTCCGAGATTTGAGCCTCATGTTTTCAAACAGAATGAGGCAGAAATAAGGGATTTAAAAGAGCAGCCACGTTTAAGACATGCAAATTGAGAAAACTCTCAGTGTGCAGACCTGAGAGGTGGGAAGCACCAGGCTGGGGGCACTTCCTTGTCCTGGATCTTCATGCCACTGATGTCCCTGATTGCTTCCTGCACCCATTTCACTGCATCCTGCTGCACAGAGCCTCAAGCCTTGCATGCTGCGTGCCAAAAAGTGTGGACTCCATAATTTAACCCCTCTCTGACAGCGTGACCTGGAGTGACAGCTCATGTCCTTTGTGCCTTGTCCCCATCCCCGAGGCCCTGGTGGTGGCACAGCCTTGCTGCCCCCCCATTTGCAGGAGGATGGGTGTTAGCAGATTGAATCCCCCCTGAGGAAGCTGCTGCAGATAAAACGCCGGCAGGACACGTGTTTGAAATGAAGCGTGGGCAGAAACATTTCCCTGAATCATGACCCAAATTCCCAGACACCGATTCTTTGATTATGCCCTAAGAAGCTAATAGATCTTTTCAGCTACCGTCGTAAAAGGGATATAACTTCCCAGGCTTTAGCAGAACATTGCCCCGGGTAGGGAGCTGAAATGTAAAACCCAGTGAGATAAATGTAGATTTAAGCTCTAGTCATGTCTTCTCGGAGCCTGCACGCTGCCAGGTCCTGCAGGCAGCACCTCCCCGACGCCACAGCTCCCACCAGAGACTCCAAAAACGACCCAGACTGAGTCAGGTTGTGTTGGCTCCTTCCTGTGACTTCCCAAAGCCATAAGGAAAAGCTCTATAAAAGAGATATACTGCTCTAGATGCCTTCTGGAGAGAAAAAACGCTTTTTGCCAGCTTGCTCTATGGGCTACCACCACCAACACAGACGATGTTGCCTTGGCAGAGAGCTCAGCACAGATCCATCCAATAATCTTTATATATCTCCCTCCCTAAGTGCCTGCCAAAACACACCATGCACTAATGCAACAGCAGAGACATGTGGTATAAATTACAGGATACAGCCGTGCAAAGAATTTCTGTGAGGAGTAAATTAAAGTGTTCGATCAAAAAATCAGTAACAGAAGGAAAAAGGAATTAAGTTCTAGGAGCAGAGTAGGGCAGAGGTGTTTTAATCTTGTGGTTTAAATGACATGGGGGGATCCAGGAGGCTCTTCCAGATAGTGGGGACTGCACAGGAAAAGGGTCTTGGATGATGAACTGAGAGAGGAGAGAGCAGGGTGGTGAGGGCTGTGGGGGTATTGCATGTGCATCCTGTGAGCACCAGGAGCCAAGGCTGGTGAAGTCCAGCTGCTCTCTGGGAGGGGAGAGGTGCCTCGAAGCCCAGGGGAGGAGAAGCAGCCAGTGGTGGGGACAGGGTGTCTCACCACGCCAGGGTAATGTCTTGCTCTTCTTCCAGGGACAAGAGATCACCACCACCTACTTTGAGCAGTCTGTGGTCTGGGTGCCTGGGGAAAAGCCCATTCAGAACAAGGAATTCCTGAAGAGCTCCAAAATTTTTGATATCTGCAAAAATGTGACCATCTTCTGGATCCACCCCACGCCAATAGCAGGTACAAGGAGCCATCTCCTCCCCAAGGGGCTCTGTCACTGGGAACAGCCCTGTCACACACCCTTGGCTCCCCTGCCACGTCTCCCTCTGTGACATGGTGGGAACCCACTCTCACAGCCTCGCTGTACACCTCAGACATGAGCACAGTGTTTGTGTGCCCACCACCACGGGAGATCATGACCAATGTAATAGCAGGGGCTGATGTTTCTCTCTGCAGAGCACTTGTTTCTGCTGGCTCCCCGCTGCCCTACACTTTGCAGAGTGGCCACCCTCCTCATAACAAGGGAAAAAAAAAAAAACAAAAAAACCCTTGTACCTGCAAAGAAAGCAGCGCTGCTGGAAACTGGGACGCCTAAATCCTCGTCACCACATGAACATCAGAGTGTGAGCAGACATCTGCATCTAAATCACACGGCGGGGTTGCCACCTCCAGCTGCTCACTGCACAGCCCTCGCAGAGGTTGTGGCCTCTGAGATGTGCTGGTGTAATTACCTGCTCTCTCTAACCCACTTGCAGCTGAATGAGCCAGTTTAAAACTCCCTGCTGAGAAAACTCCCTCTGCTCTGCAGCCACAGAGGCACATGGCTCGCAGGTACAGGCCAGCTCACAGGTGGTCCAGAGGGCAGGTGGGCACCAGAGCTCCCTGGTGCAGAGGCAGGCTGGTGTCCTTGAGTGCTGTCCCCTTTCTGCTTCCTTGTCCCTGCTGTTAGACCCCATCTGCAGGGTTAGACCCCTGGGCCAGTGAGTCCAGCTGGGTTACCAAGGTGCATCCAAAGCCTTTGCCAGGACAGCAGTGTCCCAAGGCTGTCTGGCACCTTTCCTAGCCAAGGAAATGATTGCTGTTGTGGTTCTTTCCCGAGCTAAGAGAGCTGGGCACGATCTGACCCAAATCACGTTGCTTTGGTGGGGATCTACAAATCCACCCCCAGCAGCAGAGCTCACCGTGAGGATGTGTTTCTACACACCCACAGCCCCACGGAGGAGACACCAACACCACCCAGCCATGGGCATGGGGATGGAACGGGCCACGATCTCCTACAGCCCTGCCCCAGGCTGGCTGAGAGCAGGAGGCAATGGAGCACTGGTGTGCCAGGGGGCTTTTCCTCTACCTTGGCACCAGATTCTGGTAGAGTCATTAATTCTTTCTGCTGCAATTGTCCCCCTGTTCCGTGGTTATTGACAGCAATATTTGGACTCTTCCTGTAGCTCCTGAGCTGGCCAACCTTGAAGGGGCAGTAGAAGAAGAAGACCCTGGGCTGCTGATAGACAACCAGAGCTGGTTGGACGGCGGGAGTGAACAGGAGCTGGAGAAGGACCCACAGGGGGGACCCAAGCGTCGGGCACGGCAGCTCACCGAGGAGGACCTGCCCGTCAATGACTACGTGAGTGAGGGAGCCACACCCTGGCGTGTCCTAGCCACAGTCCTGGGCTATCTATGGTCCCAGGGTGTGCTCCTTGGGATGCGTCTCCCTGTCCACTGCCCTCCCAGGCCGTGCTGTCCATGCCCCTGGGGTGTCTCAGCCACACACCCCTCACTGCTCTGACTCTGTCTCTCCCCGGCAGTCGGAGAACGGGCTGGAGTTCCACCCTCTGTGGGATGAGCGAGGTTACTGCTGTGCCCAGTGCCGCCGTGCCAACCGCTACTGCCGGCGCGTCTGCGAGCCCCTGCTGGGCTACTACCCCTACCCCTACTGCTACCAGGGCGGCAGGGTCATCTGCCGCATCATCATGCCCTGCAACTGGTGGATCGCGAGGATGCTGGGCAGGGTGTAGAGCCCGCCCAGAGCGCTGCCACCCTCCAGGTGCGGGGTGACACAGCCGGCAGCGGGGCGCTGCCGGGGGAATGCCCGGGGAACCCGCACACCTGCGGGTCCTGGCACCTCCCGGTGCCACCCCCGCACCCTGAGGGGCTCCAGAGTGTGGTCGCCACGCCGGGCAGCAAGAGGCAAGCAATAAATGTCTTGTATGAGCGATTGCAAAGAGAATGGAAAGTCGTTTAGTCTGAGTCTGATGCTTAATGGGTCTGCGAAGTGATCTAATTGCGTGGCTGCCTCGTCAGCAGCATCCATAACTCAGGTACGGGCACTGCCAGCGCTCACCTCACTGGGGACGTGCAGAGGTCCCTGATTTGCTCCCTGATGCTGCTGGGGGCTGTTCGGCACGTCCTGACCCTCTGCTCGGCCGTGTTCAGTGGTTGTTACACCAGTCCCCTCTGGAGCTGTGTGCAGCCCGGGCACAGGGAGGAGCTGGCACAAGGAGCTTCCTGAGGAACCAAGGAGCCACTCCTGTGGAGGACCCCAAGGGCCACCAGCTGTCCCCAGCCCTGCCACCAACAAACGGGCGAAACCTGAGCTGCAGGAGGGAAGAAGAAAGTCCTCGACACGCAGCTGCCCTGAGCAGGACACTGCCTGCAGCAGGGCTGAACGCTTGCACCAAAATCCCCGTGCACCCCTGGGCAGACTTCTTCTTCTGGCTGTGATTTTGGGGCTCCTGCCAAAGCCATGTCCCAGATTTCATCCCATGGAGCCAGCCATCCTGCAGGTGTCACCAGGTAATCCCTCTGTGTCACCGAGGGAGCACACTGCCACAGCCGGAGTGTACAGAGGAGGGAACAGAGACAGGTGCCAGGTGTGGCACTGCCAGACCCCTCCACGTGCCCGCAGCTCCCGTGGGGATGTGAGCACGTTTTAAGGGCGGTTCCCCCCCTCCCTGTTCATGGCTGCGCTGACAGTGCGGATAAAACACTGGGAACACAGAGGCACCCCATACGGCACCCCAAGGGACAGCACCCCGCCTCAGGGACAGCACCCAGCCCTGGGGACACCAAACCTTCCTGAAAGTCCCTTGAGACATTGATCCCGCAGAGAGGGGAGGCGCAAACCCAGCGGGACGATGTGGGAAACACAACCAGGGGAACCCGAGCGGCGCGGGGCTG